CCTTTCTTCTCTCTGATCCCCACCAAGTGCGGGCGCGGGCCGCCGCCTGATTGGTGCCTCGCGCTCGGCTGGAGCGTGCCGCTAATTTATTAATGAATGGGGGTCGCGAGGCGCAGCTGGCCAATCAGGGAGCCCCGCGAGCCACGCGCGCTGGAGCCTGCTCCCTTTCAGGAGCTCATTAGGCTGGGGGGGAGGCTGGAGTCACCCCCTCCCCTTCTTCCCCGCAGGATCACACTCTCCTCCCCACCTCTGGCAGAGCTGGAGACTGAGACTATGTCACCGAGGAGCTTATATTTCTTTCTTCGGTTGACGGGCTGCTTCTGCAGGGTGTATTTTCTGTGCTTCCTTGAATTAACAGTTAGAGTTGCCAACTTTGACTGAAGCTATTCCAGAAGGTTTGTTTTTTGGGTTTTTTTCTTAAACATCTCCTGAATTGCTTTCAACAGTCACCAGGAAATCCATGCCCATTCTGGTTGACTCCTGGGCAATGTGGGAGGGTTGGCGGTCCTACTAACAGCTTAGGTGATTCCTTCATATTCTGGTAGGCAAGGGAAATGCCATTACCACCAGGGCAGCTTTTCTAGTCGCACCCGGGGATCAGAGCCGACCTGAGAAGCACATGGGGCCGGGGGCAAATCAGCTCATGTGGGGCCCTGGCCCTGCCCCGATCCTGCCCGCCCTGGATGTGAAGAAGCACCAGCAGCGGGGGGTAGTGAGCAGCCAGACGCAAAGCCACCACCAGTGGTGCAGAGTTACCATGGCCACTCCATCCAGCTCCGCAGGGCCCCCCAAAGCGCGGGGCCCAGGGCAGTCACCCCAATTAGCACCTCCCCCCTCCCCCCCCAGGAATGAAGCTGCCAGGGATAACCACTTTTCTGGCATGGGTAGTACCTGTGGAGGTAATGTATAGTAAATCTCCCACTGGCTGCTCGAGTGGGAAGATGTTGGCTTTATGCCCACTTTAGGAAAATGGGAGGATCTTCCCTAGCTTGCTCCTGCGGCCACATGGCTGAGGGCAAGCAAAACTCGGGGGCATCCAAAACCCAAGCCCAAACATCTGAAGCCCCAGGTGGGGTGGATGTTTGCCGGTAGTAGGGCCACTTACGGTTCTTGACTGACTCATGGATTTGGAATTGATTTGGCTGATTTGAATTGAAACACGAAAAATTCTCTTAAAAAAAATAAGACGTGTCACTAGAAATGACTGCATAAGCTCCAGTTATAGGGTTTTCATAATAATAATAATCAGTATAGAAAATTAGGGTTGGAAGGGATCTCAGGAGGACATCTAGTCCAACCCCCTGTTCAAAGCAGGACCATCCCCAACTAGATCATTTCAGCCAGGGCTTTGTCCAGCCAGGTCTTAAGAACCTCCAAGGATGGAGACTCCACTGCCTCTCTAGGTAACTTGTTCCAGTGCTTTGCCACCCTCCTAGTGACAAAGTTTTTCTTAGTCTCCAACCTAAACTTGCCATGGTGTGGATTGAGACCACTGCTCCTTGTTCTGTCATGTGTGTGCCAGCTTGCTTGTTTCTGTTTACTGTTCTTCTCCTGCCCTGGGAGGTTTCTTACAAAATGAAAAGAAAGTTAGGATTCATGGAGTAATCATAGGAGATGATGCCCTCCTGAGGTCCCTCTAACCCTCTAGTCCAACACTCAGCTCAAAGCAGGACCATCCTCAGCTAGATCATTCCAGGCAGGGCTTTGTCCAGCCGAGCCTTAAGCCTCCAAGGATAGAGAGTCCACCACCTCTCTAAGTAACCCATTCCAGTGCTTCACCACCCTCCTAGTGAGAGAGTTTTTTCCTAATATCAAATCATAACTTCCCTTGCTGCACCTTGAGACCATTGCTCCTTGTTCTGTCACCTGCCACCACTGAGAACAGTGAGATTTTTGCTTTCTCTAATGACATGGCTTGTTACTGGCTGGTTAGCTCAGTAAGTTAAAGTATGGTCCTAATAATGCCAAGACTGTAGGTACGGGCCCCAGGGTTTCTCCCTTTAACAATCCTGCCTTGAGCGGGGGGCTGGGCTAGGTGACCTCTTGAGGTCCCTTCCAGCCCTACTTTCCTATGACGTATCCAATCCTGTGGAGCTCAAGGGCGCCTCTTGGGAAACATGGGGTCCAATGGGTTTAGAACCTGTCCTCCAAGATGAAGGGGCGAGGGTCAGGAGCCTAGCTGTGTTGTGACTGCAGTGGGCTGTAGCTGGGTGCGCCCCCACTTCAAGGTGTGTCTTGGCTGGGCAGCATTGTCCCTAGCACTGGTGTGGAGTAAAGGAGCACCTGCAAGGGTAGAGGGGGAGCAGATGTCTGGGGTGGGTTTGAGCCTGGGTGGGAGCAGTGGTGGCACCTGTACTGGTGGTCTCAAGTTGCAGCAAGATACCAGGAAAAACTTTCTCAGAAGAAAGGTAGTAAAGCACAGGGACAGGCTACCCAGAGAGGTTGTGGAATCTTTTAGGTTTTCAAGACTCAGCTGGGGTGATCTAGTTGGGGATGGTCCTGGTTTGAACAGGAGGTTGGACTAGATGACCTCCTGAGGTTCCTTCCAAACCTCATTCCCTGTGACTCTATGTAACCCGGGGGCAGGAGGCTTTTCTTGCATCACTTGCATGTGGGGTGAGAGTCCTGTACTTCCCAAAGCCCAGCCACCAGTTCCTAAGGAGCTGAGCTGCTGCTGGGCTCTGGACCCCTGTCCACCCATCCTCCTCCCCCCTCTCTCCCCCACCAGGACCCAGCCGCGTGTGCTTGACATCAGCCTGTTTCTGGAGAGTCTCAGTAAAGGAGCTGTCCAGAGTCCCCCTCAGCTAGGCGAGTCCTCCTTGCCTGCCTCCTTGCAATAGTTTCCCGCTGACTTATCTAAACTAATCCCTTCCCCTTTTCTTTTCCTGTGGCTCCAAGGGCAGTTGAGTCCTGTCACCAAAAGACACCGGTGAAAGGATGCGTCTGCAGGGGCTGAAAGGGTGGCGGGGGGATTAGAGAGCCGTTAGTCACAGTTCCAGGGGTGTAGCTAGCGATCCTTTGCCAGCAGAGTTTGCAGGAAGAGCTCGAGGATGGATGCAGGATTCTCCTGACCTCTAATCGTTAGGACACTCAAGTTATTTTTCAGCGAGATACACTGATGAGGGTAACCAGGTTAGGAGAAACGTTGAACTTGGAGCACACAAAATGAAA